CTCACTTTCGGATTTGAGTAAGATACACTTTTATACTTGAGTATCTGTGTTTTTTATTTTATAATAGTGATTTTACGGGTTTACTTTTCGTACTAGTCTTACTATTTTCTGCACATTATTACAAAATAATGCCTAAAAGCCGAATAAGTAACAGATAGAGGCTAGATAACCATTCCTATTATATTCAAATGTATTCTTTTTTTATTTTGACTGACCTGTCCTGTCAATAAGTCGTTAGTAATCGTCACTGATGAGCCAGAGGTCATGGATTAGATTCCTGCCCAGGACAAATAATGAAATGCCGACCACGATAATTTGTTGTAAGTCTGGGTATTTGTCTATAATATGTAATTATTTAGAAATATGTGAGTATTTTTATCGGCAGTCTGGTTGCCATGGACTCTGTCTGGTTTGGGATCAGAAGACTGTATTAGATGATTGAATTTTTTAATAGCAAAATTGTGAGCGCTTTCATATATGATGTGTTACTTATCCTATGTATTTACATCCACAGCCTTTAATAGTTGACTGCTAGACATAGGACTCTCCTTAGAAATAAGGTTTTGGCCTACTTTACCACGTTAGCCAGACGGGTTTTTATAGGGTTAGTATCAAGTTTTTCTTCACTTTGCAGTGTTGTTGCCCTGCACAGTTTGCTCCCTTAGTCGGCTTTTACGACACCCACAGGATGAATAGGGGTGGTGACACTCCGTACTCTTAATCCGTCACCACACGGTCAGTATTTAATTTATTTTATGATTAATTTTTAATTTAATTTTTTTCTCTTCTTATCTCAGAAGCGTCTATTGATAACTCCAATCGGTTTTTTTATATTGATATATGAATATACTATATGTTACTTGTTAGAATTATTTATTGTACTTTGAATGTACGTTAATTGTACTTTCATAAACCTTATACATAACGCGATATAAAATAGAAAGGTATATATTTCACATCAAACAGTGGCCATGGTAATCGCTTACTATATCAGGCAGCAATGACGGGTCTAGACACCCATATAATTTATGAAATATAACGTATGTCTTATAACTTGCTTAAACGCTTCGCTGGCAGAGGTTTGTCGGTGTATCCCCAGTGTAAGGTCTGAGATAGTGTACATTAACATTATTTACTGGGACCTTTTCTAGCATTTTCTTATAATTCCTTTGCGGAAAATTTATTTCGCTTTAGAGAGTAAGAGTAAAATAACTCGGAGTCCGGGGTCCATATAGCGAGAATGTGACTCGCGGCACGTTATATATCACGAAGGCAAAATTTTAATCTTACCTTATAAGTTGTCTCACAGAACATAAACGAAAAATACCTGTTTGTTCAATGTATCATAATGTGACTCGCGAAATAATAACGACGGTGTACCTTTAATTTATTTTGCTAATGTATTATATATTAGTAAATTTTATATATGTATTATATATTACAAAATAAGTGTAAATTCACAGGAATATGCATTCCCACACTTATTAGCTATTAACTAATTACAGTGATTGTTAATTTTAATAAACGTTTATGTGTTTGTGGTTTTTACATTTACTTTATATGTATACACACATATATAATTGATTAAGCCAGGCCTCTATTGCTACGAGTACATACTATCAAAAATCACGATAACATCTATTTACTAAATATTATTAAACTAATTTAACTAAATTATTTTAATAATTTTTTCAATAAATTTTATATAAAACTGAATTTGTAAAAATACTTTTGGGGTCTTGAACGAATCGTTTCCTATATCCTTCGTTGCCATATCTAAGCTATTAGCTTAATATAAAACTCTGCCGTAAATATTGATGAGGTTGGATAAATAATAAAACATAAATACCATAAATTATATTTTTATTATGCAGACGTCTAGAAAACATACATAGCATCTGTGTTCAGTGCTGTTACGTAAACGCAATGAATATTATTCCATATGTCTAAGCATAGGTAAGTCTTTCAACATTTTATTTATTCATGAACTTATTCCTAACACGCAATGCGATGTTCCGTATTTGCATATGTATGTGATACAGAAATCTTAACGATAAAAGATTTATCGCGATTTGCCATCTTGTTTTTATAGGTGCGTGACTGCGTAAGTCGGGCACGTAACGACCAAACATGGGTATAGGTTCGTCAAACAAGGACTTCGGTGAATTTATACGATTCACAACATTTATTACGGCTATGAAATACTTAGTGTGTATTCTAACTGTAAGTGTTAACGTCCTTAAACTCGTGAATATGTCTAAGTGACCAGTACGAATATTAATGATAGTTATAATTATACCTTTTGGTTTATCATATTTTTTTACGGATCAAAGAATAATCTTTATATATATAATACAGAATAAAAGTTGTAGCACATACTTCTGCTGTCATAAGACCCATTCAGACCTCCACATCTCAACTACTAGGCGATATCGAAGTTCTGTAGAAAGACTGTTGTTGGACTTTTTAGGGCTCCAACTACCCAGAAAGATTGCCACAGATGTTCGTTTGGCATCCGAGACCGACGGCTTAATGTGCTCACCCATCCATAGACTGACCTGGCTAGGATTGCTTAACTTTGCAATGTATTAACCTACTCGGTTACCACTCAGTCACGAGCCCCTCCACATGTTCCTTGTTTTCATATCAATAAAATTGAATACTACTATTGTTACAGGGATATTAAAACCATGTTTTTTATATAACTACCTCAAACATAAAATTATTTCTCCTCCATTTTATTTATTTATTAATGAACGTAAACATTATAAGTGTATTCACTTATTTAGAATGCGTCCTTCAACGACTCATTTATTTTTACACATAGCATTGTAAGGAACCTTTATATTAAATTACAGTGAATTTGCCACTCAAAGAAGTGGATATTAATCACAAAACAAAATTAAGTACACTAGTAAATCAACAAATTTATTAAAATTTAAAGTTTTTATAACTTAAACATGTCATGTTCGTTTTTTTCTAAAAATTGTTTAACATTTTTATGGCCGTACCCAGGTATGGTACGGCCATAAACAGGTACATATTTGTTTGTTTTAAGGTAGATAATATCTATTACGTAATTGCGTAATGGCCGTATATATGCATTTTTACACATCATGGAAAATCTAAACTTTAAAAGTTAGTATAATAATTTCCAGTCTCAAGCGTTCCTGACGGCGCACACTGGGGCAGAAGACACTAATAAATGCCGGAAATAAAAAAATAAAAAGATGTCACTTGTTAGCCCTCATATATAAATTAATTAGAATACTAACTCAGGTATTATTTGGCGGTATTTAAATGCCCTATAACAAACCCACTTCGTTACTACAGTGAAGCGTACTTACGTCTTGCAGACTACCCTATCCAGTATTAGTGTTTTTTTTTTTTTTTTTTTGATTTAATTTAAGAGCCGTTTTGCGCTAAAAGTATTTATTTTTGGTATTGTTAAGCTATGGAACCTTCATCTTCAGGTATGTAACTATGATTTAGAATGTTTTTTTTCTTTATTATATAAATAGTTTTAGGCAGACCAGGCTAAATTTGGGTGTGTAGAAAATTATTAGGCAAATAACGAAATAATAGATATTTTATTTTGTTTCTAAGCAATATTAAACTCTGCTTACTATCTAAAAATAATCTTTATAGTATCATCTCTTATAAACAATTATTTTTATCCCAATTTGCCATTATTATTAAAAAATATTTATTTCGTTTTAGGGATGTCCTCGAATACATTATTAACAACATACAATATAAGTCAAGATGGGAGAAAGCGTGTAGAAAAAAAGAAAATTTTAAGATTGGCTTCAGACATCACTTTCTTTTCCATGCATTGGGTCAAATATGAAACGCGGCCGACCGGTTACTTCTTTTGAAAATTCCTCAGTAAATAGTAAACGTGCCAAGACTAAGCAGTTGCGGGAATCAACTTCAGCTTCAGAATTAGTTTATGCTACTTGTATGAGTCTACGAGCTAAAGGTCAAGTAAAAGGCTCAAATATTTTGAAGTTTGTTAAGCCCTGACAGAAACTACTTCAACCAGATATTTCGTTTCTTTATACCCGTGGTACAACGTACCACCTACTCTGCATAAGTATTTCATTCATGGACCAGAAATTATGTATATCCTTTTGCACTGCCCACTATCGGACAATTAACAAAAGAATCACAGGAGGCAAGAAACAAGGCCTTTAAGCGCCATAGAGAGCATAATTCGAAAAAAATGTAGCAGAGAAAAATCTAATAGGGGTAATTTTTTCCTTTTTTTTACTGAGCTCTGATCCCGTAATCACCAGTAAGCAAAAGTTAGTCAAAAATAAAGTGAAAAATATTCCTAAAGAAGCTCTGTTCATGTTGAAAGCTCAATTTCTAAATAACTCAGATGATAATACTACAGTCGATGACGATCATAATGATGAAGATGACGATGCTTTAACATATCTGCAATAGGTATCATACTGCTCGTCTGCCCCCTCTAACATAAAAAAAAACTATACTTGAGAAATACCGCTTTTCTTTTGGTAAAAAATATATAATGTGTTATTTTTAAACAATAAAAATGATGATGTTAATTACCTGAATTGTTTTTTTCTGTTATTACATATGTCTATGAGAACACTCGGTCCACTTTAGAACGTCTAACAGCTTTAGTATATTTGAGGGCAGTTATAAGGGTCTCCTGCCCCAGTGTGCGGCGGTCAGGTCTGAGTTATCATGATATATTATTATGTATTCATTTAACGAAATATGACTACTAATTGAATTTGCACGAAAGCCCTTAATATCTCTAGACTATCTGATTTTCTAGTAACTTTAGTATTGAGCGATAATTTACAGAAATATGAGGCAAACGACATAAACCCAAATCCAATAACACGGAGCACAAAACAATTTAAAGTTAGTATTTATGTCTTTTCTACAAAAGAAACATCTGCGTATACGGTATAGGTATACATGTATTATATAGAGACAAAGTTATTTAAAGTAAATACTTAAATTTATTTATTCTGTGCGTAAAATAACGCAAAAACAGAATACGTTCCACGCACCACCTGAAATGATAAACAAATAATTAAAATAACTCATTTAATGGTAGTCCAAGTTAATAATTAAATTAACGAATGTTTGGCATATTTCAGTGAATACCTACAGCAATTAAAAGGCTAGTTTAAATTATTTCTGGATCCAGTGAAATTTATTTGTGAGATTAAAATAATTATTTCACTAAAAGAGTATTTCGTATTCCACATATTAATAAAGTTAATAAATTTCTCTTTAACGCTTATAGTAGCACTCTAATTATTAATATAGTAGGTACATTTTAGAAATAACTACTATTCTGATTTTTAACCCTTGTTATGAAGAGTTGTTCAGGCTTTTTGATAGTTACAATCTCGAAAGGGTATTCGGGTATTAAATACACATACCTATGGACAGTGTTGCTTTTCCACTTTTAACATTAAGTTCTTTCAGAACTTTTCGATCACAAAGTCAAAAAAGAAACAATTTTTTTTTCACACATGTTTTAGACTATATTTCGTACTACAATAGGTATATGCCTAAAAAATTTGTATAGACATACAAAAATAATTAATTCGAGCAAATCTGCGAAACAAGCTGGAAGAACACGAAGTTTAGGTTATCTTTGTAATGTATATACCAACTATAAAATTCATACATACGAGTATAATAGTAAATGTGAAAGCGAGCTTGTTTGTTTGTTTATTCGTTACGCTTTCACACCTGAACAACAAAACCGAAAAAAAAATCTTTCACCAATGGAAAGCTACATTATCAGCGAGTAGTATAGGCTACTTTTTACTGCGATATGTGGTAGATATATTTATTTATTTATTTATTTTCTTTAAAAACAACTATATATGGTATTAAATAAATATGAACCATTTTCCATGCGTTATTTTTTAAATAATGCTAAAGAAAGCGTTTAGAACCTCTTACCTTAAGTAAATGGAAACATTATACTATCTTAGAATTTTTATGACTGAAATAAACAAAGTACCTTTACGATCACCTAGTGGAGACGTACTTCTATCATGCTCACATCACAATGCTATAAAATTGGTGTCTGATAGTTTCACATTGAAAATGTATAACACTCATATTGTCTACCCAAGATTTTAGACATATATTTACGTTTTATACATAACATGTATATTTACTTTTTATAATATAAATAAACAAAATATCTGCATAATAATAGGAAAACGAACCATTTTAGATAATAGTACAAAAATTTTGATTATACATTTCGTTACTCTCTTTAACAACCCATTAACGTTCTAAAAAAGTAACATCACCTCCGGCCCTTTTCCCAAACTAGATTGGGGTCGGCTTTCAGTCTACAAGACATGTCTGAACTTATTATTATGTGAAACGACTGCCGTGAGACCTCCACATCCCAAGTACTAGGTGATCTGGAACTTCTGTAGATAGATTGTTGACGGACTTTTTAGGGATCAAACTACCCGTAACGATTGCTACAGATGTTCGCATGGCAACGAGGACCGATGGCTTAACGTGCTCTCCGAGACACGGAGAGGTCTCAATGTGTGTGTGTGTGTGTGTGTGTGTGTGTGTGTGTGTGTATGTGTGTGTGACTGACCTGACTTAGCGGTTACGCATTATGCACTTTAATGTTTATGTGTCTAGTCTATATTTATTATTTACAATAAGTCCAAACCATTAAAAATGTTGCGTAGCTAAGTTCAACCATTTTGAACGCCTTCATAACAAGCGGTCGTTGAGCTTGCATTAACGCCAAAACAACCAATTGTCTAATATTGCGACGAGGCATATTATTTACCCGGGGAGGACACAGATGCCAGCCGCAGTAGAATATTGCATCTGATACTAATGAAGCCTGAAACCCAAAACATATGATTTTACAGCTCTGTTTTCATCTTGAGCAAAAAATTACGGTTGTAAGCTCTGACATATATGTACATTCATAGATACATATTTAACAGCAAGTTATTAAAGCGTCTGTTTGCCGACGGGAAAAAAACATTTATTAGTTTTTAAGTAATTATTTCCTTGATAAGCTATTTTAAACGTTCTTTTGGTCGTATTATCGTTTGGCTCTATCGTAATGCATTTATACTAATCTTACATATAAATATCGTTGTTTGTGTATTTGTTCATATTTTATGCACACCCATACCGTTCACATTACAGACATATTTATTTAGAAATAATGCAACACTTACAAAGGGTTACTTTTTTCTCTATAAACGCTATTCCATTGAGATATGAAAACAATTATTTTATAGGCGAAGTCGCAGACAAAAGCTAGCAGTTCATAGTCCAGAGACTCAAGTTGCTATCAAACGATGATTGTTTATGCCAATTTGACCGTTTACTTAATACGTTTATAAATTATATAAGTGCTTACTCCTATTATTGTATACAACCGTTAACTAGATATTATATATAAAAATTGATATTATTTACATTAAAAAAAGGTATATTTTGAGATAGAAATATTTAAGGCAACAGATTTCGGAGCTTTATAATGATTATTAATAGTTAACAAATCCGCTGAGCTTAGTTCAAAATGTAAATGTCAGTTACTTTTCAAAAATAAAAACCGTATATATTTTTTAAATACAATAAAATCCTAAAAATCTATTTTTCGTGGATAAAAAAATGAAACCCTATTCAAAGAAACACCATCATATTTCTAATGTACATGTTAACAGAATACGAGAATATTTCTAGTACAACGACTATCGCTGTTGAGTTGTAAAGAGCCTCAAAATATTATATTTTATTTTTCTCTATTTATATAGTGAAGAATAGATTAGTATATAGGTAATATGTCGTACGTTTACGAAACTAACACAGAAAATACATAAAAAGAAAAGTTTTTAAATCCAAAAATCTTGATCTTTTTTCATAATGCTTATTACTTTTTAATCTATTTACTATTTGTTGTAAGACAGACAAATTATATATACATTGTATTTATTTATAAAGCACACTATTTACGTTAATGCTTTTTATTTCAATTATGAAGTATTTAAACGAAAACAAAAACGATTTTGTTGTTCTATCCTCGAGCAAAAATAAATACAAGCTCTTCTTAAGAATCTCTATGACGAATTTGGTCTGTTTCTATATATGAGTTATGCACATAAAATGATCGTAACAAAATGATTCCATTTACGTCACTCAACAATTTCTGATAAACATATAATATATGTATTTTGGTAAGTTACATTCTAGATAGCGCGTACATATTATATGTAGTGATGGTCCGAATGTGGTTTGAACCGGACACGAACTTCGGCCGAACATTCTGTAAAAATGCAAAATTGGACTAATCATCATCAACAGCCTATACTAGTCCACTGCTGGACATAGGCTTCTCCTTAGAAAGGAGGTTTTGGCCTACTATACCACGCTGGCCAGACGGGTTGGTATAGGGTTTGTTTCAAGTAGGTAATAATAATAAGGACTAATAATAAGGACAAATGCCCTAACATGAGCTATTGGCTCGAGTATTTTTGTCGTCTTCTGGAAGATCTGTATATTCTGAACGACTTTTCTCAGAGGCAGAAAACCGTTATGAACAAAACATGAGGGTTTTACAATTCTGTTCTCTTTAAAAAAAATTGATCTCTTAAAGCCACAAATTATAATGATGCTTATTAGAAGTAAACAAAGTTTATTTTGTTTTTATTTTCAGTTATTTCTTTCTTTGTGTGTGACTTGTTACATTTCATATAATAATAATAATACATCACACGTCCCACACACGGCGTCTGATTCCAAACTAGGCAGAGCCTGTGCTATGGTAACCAGACTGCTGATAAAGATACTTAAATACATTTAAATACATACATATTATTGATAAATTACACCCAGACACAGAACAAATGATCGTGCTCATCACACAATATTTGTCCTGGATCGGAATCGAACCCACGACCTCCGGCTTAACAGACAGGATCACTATCCACTAGACAAACAGGCCCGTCAAACAAAATAAGTATATATGAGAGATTTGCTTAGTATTAAATTTAGAAAAAATATTACAGGTATTTTACTTTTTTTCTTACACCGAATGTTCGGCATTCGGCAAGCTTCCGAAATTCGGTTAACCGAATGTAATACGAATTTCAGCCCATCTCTATATATACCCGAGAATGTCGTAATTATATTATCATTTAAAAAATTTATAATACTACCTGGTGAGTTATTTCTCCAGCATTGCACAAAAACAGTCCCAAGAGAAAGAATAATGCAATCATAAAGAATATTAACTTCGCTGTTGCCACGAATGTTAGGTCATCTGATAACTAGAACAGAATAAACATAATTTTGTCTTTCGAGCTTTTATTACTACAGTCCATAAAATATACGTAGCATAAATGATAATAGAAATATTTTTAGTAAGTTTCGGTGAAACAAATGTACTGTCAAAATACAAAGAAATGTGTAATTAAGAAAAAGTAAAATGGAATCTTTCGCCTGATGGTGGCTCTCACTTTTACTGCGCAACTAAATATCTAACGAATATGATGCCTCGTGATTCTTAACTGACTTTTAAAATAATATTTTACGAGTTTCTTTTTCTATTTTTCACCTTGTGATTTATGAACCAATATCTTTTTTTTTTAAATTGAATAGCTTCTTCTCAAGGTTGTTCCCAGTTAAATTTAAAGAAAATCTTTCATCCTCAGCGTGGAATATTAAGGAATGAATAATATATGTAACAATTTATTATTATTTAGACGCAATATACCAGTTTATACCTTTTTTAAGTTATGTTTTTAGAAAAAAATAGTGTAAACGGTTCTTTCCTTCATGATTAAACTTGATTTATAATAAAAAAAAATTATAACAATGTATAAATTTAATAAAATTGGTAGTATTCCTTACAAACGTAAATCTTATTCGCACAAACAGAGATAAGGAACGCGCAATGCGATGAATCTATAATGAACACAAATAATACGCACTTTTACAAAATTCAGGGGCAGACGACGAAGTACCGGCGTAAAAATTCGATTACTTACGGCAATTTGAAGAAGGATAGACACGGCAGAACCGGAGCTTTGACAAAGTTGTAGCGCCATCACGGTCCCAAACGCTTTGTCGATCTCTTTTGATAACCTTATAGGATGAAAACAAATTAGAAGTTGGTGCGTAGTTTGAAAAAGAAAGTAAAAACGAAGCAAACTTGTATAATTTTTTTGTATTTATACTAGAAGTGAAAAAGTGATGCCATTTATAAGATGATCTCGAAAAATCAACCGATAGTTTATAATATTACTCATATTAATGTATAACGTGACAATGCGCAAGAAGGTGCTTGAAAGTTATATTTCAAATCTATTGCCTACCTCTAACAACTCTTCTAAACAAATCTCAAAAAAAGGTTTTTTACAAATCAGAATTTATTAGATCTTAGTAGGAAAACAGTTGATGTTGATATTTCTTTCCTAGACCGTCATACCAGGCCTATTTGAGGTACTTCAGTCTCAGATCGATTACCCATCCGAGACTCAGTATCGAGGAATACAATACATACCCTGCTTCCCTCACCCTATCGGTTTTCCTTATCCCGAATTTCATTTGTCAACTGAAACTAGTTATATCACTAAGGAGAGTTGACGTCAAGCGTGCGTGCTATTTTGTGATGCTGTATATTGCACCCACTCCAAATAAATTCAGGCAAACCACAGTAAGATGTTGAGTTAAAGGAAAACAATGATCAGCTTGAAATTACTAGTACGGTGAAAAGGAAATGTTAAATACATACTTTAATAAATTACTATGCATTTCAATTCCTTCTATTAGTCCGTTTAATACTTTTTCTTCTGCTAAATTATTGTCTCTCTGATTCAGTCTTTCAACTTCTTCCCTCAGATTTTCAAAGTAATGTCTCAGTGTAATGAACTTATACTTGTACATGATGATGTAAACCATGGTGAAGGAATCCACGGACACTATCATGGTGACCATCATGACGAGGAGCACTAACGTGCCGCACACTCTAACAAAATTTGCTATGGCTGTATCGTCTCCATACGACGGGTAGTATGTCACCACCGTTACGAAGTGAGAACCTAAAAAAACATGAAGAGAATTGCATTCTGGAGCGTTAAATTCTGGTATAAAAATATACCTACACACAATTGTTTCGATATTAGGAACACTAAAATTACCGCCCTGTCTTGGAATGTTAGATGCCGAAATTATAATTATTAGTGACTAACATTTGACCTTTTGTTTTCATTGAGTTTGTATAGATTTTTTCAATAATCTATCCCTCAGGTTAACTATTTATTATTTAGACTTTATTTATGTGCAACCATAAGCAAAGAAACTAAACTCTCATTTGCATTAATAATATTTCCAATAGTATTTTAGAATAAGCAATACATCATTCAACAGGAAAAGAATTATTCCACCAAAAACATTTTCTTATAAAATGTTGCCAAGACGAAACCATTTTGGCTCGCACTGTCAAAAAGTTATCAGGTCTTATTTAGAGCCAAGCTACTAACTCGACACGCCCTAACTCTACAAGCCTTAACTTTACAAACTCTACAACTTAGCTAAAATATATGGCTTAACCGTTTCGTTACTAGGGGTAGGTACTAGGGGTAAAAATGCTAAGTTTTAGTTTTTTTTGTAGTTTATGTTCTAATACTTGCTAATATTTCAACTTTCTAGGACTTCAGGAAGTACCCTTTTTTTCGGATACCACCTACCGGTGGCTATGTCGGACTCAAACCGGCTACAAACCGCACGCCGTCTCGGGTACCAGTAGACGGGGAACCAAGTGTACCCTAGAAAGGAAATCCCTGGTACCCCGACGTACCTCGGAGCATCTACGGCGGGTAGATGACCCCCTCCTGTGTGGGAACCCCCATGTTCATTTGGTGCTCCCAAAAGGGCACGCGCGCTACGCAGCGCGTCTCGCCGCCACCCTGGCCTGCTTCTGCTAGAGTGACAGATGGCATCACCTGTCTCCCCCAGGCCTGCGCCTATGGAGGACGGAGGTCGTTCTTCGACCTCCGGCGCCCGAGTCGTCTGCGGTAAATGGCCCGTTCCCGGGTCTGGCGAGCCGGGAGAGTTCTAAACCTCTCCCGGTCCCGCTCCGCCATCTCCTTCGCAAGCATAACATGCTCGCAGGAGGAGACGGCCGAGTTCCACGCACTGTCTCTCCGTACCATGGCGGCAATCATACTAAAGAGCGAGAAGGCTCAACTCCGATGGCCACCACGAGGTCACGCCTCTGCTCCACCCACGCCCGGCATTCTGTCACCATCCAAGAAGGCACCACGAAGCACCCAGTCGTAGCCGATGTTCCACCGTACGACCGTACGACATTTCACGTTTACCGAGACCGGTCCTACTTGGGTAGACGACGGCTCTCTCCGACAAATATGCCCCGACTATGCGGCGGAGGTAGCGAGGCACTTCGTGAAACACGAGCGCCTCCCTGATGCAACTCCAGGGTAAAGTGTTGAACGCATTGGCGATGTCCAAGGACACCGCCACGAAAAACTGCTTCCTCCGACAGAGCCCTCACGCGCATGATCGCATCCACGGTGGAGCGCCCCTGACGGAAACCTTACTGGTTATCCGCCAGATCCGGCCCCACCATGACGAGATGCTTAACGAGGCGCCTTGCAATTACTCTTTCGAAGAGTTTGCACACCTCGTCAGGCAATACTATGGGCCGGTAGGCGGAAGGTGAGCCCGACGGGCGCCACTCCTTTAGGATGAGGACCAGTTTCCCCGTCTTCCACAACTTCGGAAACTGGCCCGGAGACATACGCTGAAGAACCCTCTCAGTCGGGGCTCGAAAGCCTCGTCATCTAAGACCAGGACCCACGCTCAGCCTAGGATGCCATCAGGTCCCGGGGCGGTGTTTTTGGATTTAAATCGTATCACCGCAACCCTTAGTTCTGCCCAAGTAACCTCAGGCACGTCGCTGTCATCCACGTTAGGCGCACCGAGCGTCGGAGGCGGAGCCATCTGTGGTGGGGTATGCTCCACCACTCGCGATGGAAACAGGGAGCCGACGACCCCCTGAAGCAGATCTGGATGAAGACACTAGGTGAGCGGCGGGGCCCATGGACGCATCTCGCCCCTAACCATACGGTAGGAGCGTCCCCACGGATCCCACTCCAGTGTCTCCAGGAATTGGCGGCGGGCCTCACTTTTGTCCTCTTGGCAACCCTGTATTCTGCTAACAGACCCGCCCTCCGCCTTGCCGCGTCTTCAGTGCGACGACAGTCTCCTCCCCAACAACGACGCGTCAGCCCTGGACACGACCCGCTAGCGAGGGACATGTGACTGAGATGTCCACGATCGAACTACCCCTCGCCGTTACTAACGTGGCCGCGGCCCCCCGATTTAGGAGAACTAGGCCAAATCTTTCAGCCCAGTTCTCTAATGCCCTGCCCCTCGGATTAGTGCGCTGGGAACCCCAGGTCTCCGACCAGGGCACAAGAATTGGGTGGGGGCGACAGGCATCGACGACAACGGCCAGCTGAGCGTGCCATTGCTCGTACTCAGCTATGTCTCGGTTTGGCGTGAAATAAAAGGCCACGACCGCTATATATCCAACCACCGCCGCCACGCAACTCCGTCCAAGGTTGCAACGGCAAGATAGATATATTTTAGGTATCAATAAAATCTAAAGTAGTTATACAATTGAAACTTCATATGTTTAATAGGCATGGTCCGTGTGGTGACGGATTAAGAATACAGAGTGTCACCACCGTCTATTTATGCCGTGGGTGTTGTTCGAGGCGACTAAGGAAGCAAACTATGCACTGCAGAGAAAAGAAAAACTTGAAACAACCCCTATACCAACCCGTCTGGCCAGCATGGTATAGTAGGCCAAAACCTCCTTTCTAAGGCATATGTCCAAGAGTGGACTAATAAAGGCTGTTGATGATGATGATGATGTTTAATAAGTCTACTTTTGACATCATATGCCGAGAATTTTGTTTATCTGGTGTAATCGAAACCCAAGTTATGAGGGTTCAAAAAACGACGAAGCGCTTCGAGAAAAGGTAGGTAGTGCCCTTGCGCTTCGCTTGGCTTGTCTTTGTAGGGCACTACCGTACACCAGATATCGACAGTTCACACTTATGTCGAAAATCAATAGAAAGAATATGTTATGGCTAGGTAGTGCAGCAGGTTACCTTTGATTTTGCAGTTTCGAATATAAAACTCAGTCGTATTATTTTAGACTACAAAAAAACAATTTTGTGTTAATCTGTTACGCAACAATAACAAACGTAGAAGATTCCAAGGTAGCAATGATTAAGTCACATTAAAGTTAGTATTAGAGTTCTACAAATAACACCTTATATGAAACTTATTATACATTACATAAAATGGTCTGAAACATTTTTTTAAAATCTTTTTACAGATTTCTAGATTCTTGCGATTGAACCAGGCTATTCCTAAATATATATACACTATAAGAAATAATAGCTACTACTTACCTACATACATCTTCCGCAGACCTTCTAGAATGAAAAACGCGCAAGAACCATACACAGTTCCAACATAAGCGACCACATTTATTTTCATGATCTTATATTTCTCCGCCATCAACGTGTGGTCCTCGTAACTTTGACAAACAGTTATCATTTTATGATTTAAGGTTTTTATTAACGATTTATGTACAATTATCGACGATATTTTTATCATAACTATGGTGTGACTGACGGCGAAACTCACAGAATCGCTTTTCTCGTCCTCAGGAAAGTCTCCCATCACGGCTGCCATTACTTCAAGTATCGTCATAAAACTGTACAGGAAATACAAAAAGGCGCCCCCTGCTTTGTAAATTAAACGTCGATCATTCCCTATTTCTTTTTCAACCAACCAAAAATTACCGTTGCCTATTACAAATATTTTTTTGCAGTAGGCTTTTAGAATTTCATAATTTTTCATTGTAGGGTCTTCTTGGAACTCACTGGACAAACAAAATAGAGGATTAGTTAAAGTACACACATGACAATCCATGTCCCATAAAGCTAGTCAATACTCAGGAATATCGGGAACCTGTATATTAGTAACAATATTTGATTAAAACTGTACAGTCACGTAATACATATAAATAGGTACTGCAAAACTATTTTAATTAGGGACTTTCAAGTATAATTTAAAACCGCAGTCAGATTAATTAATAGATATGCGGGATCATTAATTACAAAACCTACACATTTCATTTTACAAATCAATTGGGCACTTAAAATTCATTTCATTAATAGTAATATATGGGAATATTGAAATAAAGTTTACCAATAGGATTTAGATTACTTGTCAAAGCGTTTGCGTTAGACGAACAAGGTGTGTAATATGAGTAAGTTTGACTTATGTAAGTTAGGTATACTTAGCTTCTAATAACAAAATTAATACCCATAGTGTTGATAATAGTTTCCATAGTGTAGAGATATATAGACTTGCCAAACTCCGTGTTTATTTTAAATTTGTTGTAGGTACCTGTTTTGTAAATTGTGAATCTGTGTGAAATAAAAATTAATGTTTTAAATTCTTTTTGAACACAGAGCGTGAATTATTTAAAAACTTGGAATATCTTATAATGACAGAGAAACATCTTCTTGCCTGATCTTTATATATCCAATATCATAACTCTATCGAGAGAATATTGAGCATAGAATAATTCACCATCCATTTTTTGTCGCATTTTAACCTCTGTTGTACGCCTATTTTGCATAAGAGGGAAGATGGCTTTGTCATCCGAGCTAATCAAGATAATTTTTCAAGCTCCTGATGAACCCGAGCCTAGGGTATGGAAACTCTTGTGCACTCCAAAGGAATGTGTGTGGCTGTCTCTCCTACCTCTATTACAAAAAATGTTCGTTAAATAGACGCGGTGTGGTGGTCACAGAGTTGTCTACCGCAAGCGTACCGTACACTTTGATTGACTATATTCATTCGCTTCCGTCCACTATTTGTCGTGTCATATACTATTGTTAGATTGTCATATGACTAATGTGAGTAGTAGTACCGTCCAGAAGACAGAGGAACAATTACGGACGTCGCTACCTATTTCGAAAAAAAAAACTGATCCTTATCGGCACTTTAAATGTTTTTAAACCCTTTATGCATCTAATTATGAAAGAGGTTAGACTAAAATCCACTATTCTAGTCTGAAAACAGAGACACATCACAAACGAAAGAAGGGAAATAAAATATTTTTCGGAATTTATAGGACACGGCTGTCATCGGTTCAGAACCCATATTAAATAAAAGCCACCTGTATCAATAAAACTATAACGGTCTGTAGACCGTCTAACTTATCCAAGTAAATGCAGCTGATTACTTACAAGTTTTTTCTAACAGCTCATAATAACACCAAGTTTCAAACTTAAAGAGCTCATAATAAATGTTTCATTAGATGGCGCGGAAAAATACTCAGAATAGAGTTAGTTTATAAAACAATGGTCTATCAACTGAAATTATTTTCACCTTCACAAAGAGAAAACTTTTATATGACCAATATTTTTCTTAGTAAAAATAGGATTATTTCTTTTGTTTTAGACAGAGTACATATAAAGCAGGTATTGTAAAAAATATTACTTTCTGTAAAAAACCTGTTTCTGGAAAAGTATTTTTAGGACTGCATAAACAGTAAATGTCCTTAGTTAAATTTGGAAGTTAGGGTGGCAAAATATCATGGGAGAGAGACAATCCGGACAAATGGGCGGGCTCGACCGGAGTGCTACCACGACCTCAGGGAAAACCGGTATTAAACTTCTTCTTCTTTCTTTTTCTTTCTTTCGTTGCTTTTACCAAATGAGGGAGGATAACGGATCCCAAACAACGAGGGTTTCAGGACGTCCAGATTAAGGTGGGAGGACTCTTGTTCCTCTTGAGTTGCAGATGTCCATGGACAGCGATAGTCACTTATCATCAGATGATATGTCTGCCTACCCTTTAATAATAAAATCTCTACTTACAAGAAAATTCTTTTTAAAAAAATTGAACCTACTTCAAACAACACTAACAAAGAGAGAGATTTGCTGTTATTTTTGTTATTTTTTTTAAATCCGAAATTCATCATTAGATCTAAGTGAAATTTCAATGGGACCATTTCGGAATAAACCCTTTTCGAACAAAAAAAGAATTTTGAAAATCCGTCTATAAATGACAGTTATCCATACATAAAAACCGAACATACATAAAAAATACATAAACATCCTAATTGATAACCTCCTCCTTTTTGAAGTCGATTAAAAAACCACCAGCATCTGTAATCTAAGCTACCTTAGGTTAATTTAGCTGAAATCGGTAAAAAATTGCAAACTCCTTCAAGCACTGGACATTCCTATACGAGGCGAGAAATATCTTTGTTAGAACGATTACACAAGTGCTACTAAATATACATAATGAAGAAAGTCTTATATCTGTTTTCATTAAAACATTTTTATTTTAAAAGCACTCAAAGATTTCGAAAAAATCCCACTCTGAAATCCCCTAAGCTAACTTAAAAATAGATAAAAACAAGAAATGTTATTATAACTGTTCTACAGCGTAAGTGCTTCTAAGAAATATGTTATCTTAGCCGTTAAAATGTTAAGTGGAAATAATAAAAGTTTGTTTATTTGTAATTAAAAAATGTTTATTTGGATTGTATTTCCTATATCTGCGATCTATTCATTGGCTTTTATAATATCTTACAATAAAATAAAGTTAAAATAGATAAAAATAGAATGAAGTGACAATTACTTTAGTGACTTAAATACTCTGCTTTTAAAAGTAAGCGTTGTACAAATTTGTCTTGGTTCACAAAGCCCCTTGTGTCCGCTGGCTCGAGGCCAGCTCTCCAATGGACTTACGAAGATAACAATGTTCAGTCTTATATATTTAATATTAAACTGCCTCTCACGCCTTCGTGTTGGGGCTATCCATCACATGAATGAATTCAGTCTCATAAACAACATTTTTGATTTAATGAAATTTCAAAAAATACCGCAATGCAACTAGCGTTCTTAACTACCACAGAGTATAACGCTTGGTCTTTTATATGACTCATGACTTTGGTCAATTCCATATTACTTGGTAACGCAGTTTAAAAAAATAATAAAACCGCTTACATAATTTAATTATAATATCTTTATAAGATCACCCTAAGAAATCTACCTACAAGCATATCAGTACTTAATATGACTTTTACTCTTTGCTAAACACTCAAGCAATTTTAATTCATAATGTTGCAACCAAGAGTAGCGTATCTAACGTTTCACGATTTATAAACGAACATTGGTTTTGAAAATGCTAAGATTAATGTAAACTTAATTAAACCTATGAGCTAAAAATGTTTGACTATATTTTTATTATTCTTTTATTAGATCATGATTATAGGCAAACGACTTCTAATTTAATAGACCACACTGGTACTATTTCAACCATTAAAATACATTAAAGGTAATTTTTTAATTCGAGGTTGACGAGGTTTCTTTGTAGATTTTGTCTCTGATAATTATAATTGATAAGGTTTGATATACCACTTGTGTTCAAAACCAACACCGTAGCCCTAATCCAGGAGCCGTGGATTAGGAAGGGCAGGATCTGCGGTCTAAACAATATTGGAGGTAAGATACTTCTCAACACTACCATTGATAACCCGCGCACTTGTATTTATACACCAAAACATGCGTGTACTACCTTAATGACCGAGTTCTGTTCCAGAGACCTTACCTCTATTAGGTTAAAGGAACCCTCATCAAACCTTCCTGACGTGGTGATAGCATCAGCCTACTTGCCGGGCGATGCTGACATCCCCACTCCGGAGCTGGCTGCGCTGGCACACCACTGCGAGCGTGAGGGTCTGGAGCTGATCATCTCTGCCGACACCAACGCGCACCATGCGCTGTGGGGCAGCAGGAGCAACAACCGGAGAGGTGAGGAATTTGTATCGTTCCTATTATCAACTAACCTTAACATTATCAACGTGGGCTCGGAGCCGACATTTGTCACATCCAGGGCCCAAACTATAATTGATCTTACTTTAGCAAGTGAGCACGCATCGCAACACATATCGAACTGGCATGTTTCGAACGAAGCATCGTGCTCAGACCATCGCTGGATCAAATTTAACTTTGAAATGAAACTTAAACTACCCGATCCCCGACGGAATCCCCGCACGATGGACCGGAAACGGTATGAACATCTTACTGCGGAGAATCTGCGAAGCATCAACCCAACATATGCTACGGGGACTGTTAAGGACATTGACAGTCATGTTGTCAACCTTACACAGACACTGATCGATAGCTTTGAACAAACATGCCCACTTTCCACACCCAGAACTGGACCACAGAACAAACACCAATGGTGGGGTCCGGAACTGGAAAGACTACGTCGTAAAGTGAGAAAGTTGTTCAATAAAGCAAAAAACTCGCGATTAGACCAACATTGGGATGCCTACACGCAGGCCCGACAACAATATAAGAAGAGAATCAGAACCAGGAAAACTGAGTGCTGGAGAAACTTCTGTACTAACATAGAAAACAACAACCAGGCTAATAGAGTCAAAAGCATACTGTGTAGTAGAGGCGATCACAATCTTGGCTCACTGAAGAAGCCTGATGGTGAGTATACCAAAACAGACTCGGAAG